AAGACATAAATAGATGAAATAGACGTAAAGGCTTATTTGCAGACTATTTCGAAATATAAAACCATGAAAGCAGTGCAGACTTTATCTTTAAACCTTTTTCATAATGTGTGTTTGTATTGTAATACGTACCCCTGACATTGTTTTTTGATATGTTATGTTATGTACTCTTGTTTGTATTGTATTTCTGTTCAAATAAAAAGCTTTAAAAAGGGGGGAGCAGGACTGAAGAGGTGAGACATACCGCCGGCTTGCTTGTTCCACAGGCACCCCACTCCTCTGCTCCCCAGCACCTCCTCCTGGGAACACAGCATCACAATGGCCATCAGCCCACACAGCTCCACAGACAGCCCCAGCAGTGTGTGGCCTCCCACTCCCAGTGCACAGCAGTCTGATCCACTCCAGGGTTTACCTGCCTTTTTGCTCGGATGAGCAGTGTGGAACTCACAATAAAGCCCGGACTGAGCACACTGCTGCGCACTGGGAGTCTTCCTGCAGGTCTGCCATTCATCCAGAGCACCAGGGCCAACCTGTCAGCTCCAGGCAGAGCAGACCTGTGCAGTCAATCTAAAACTATCGCATTGCGAAGAGAATCATTCACGCCGTTAACAAGCAAGCGAGCATAAGCAGGAATTACAAAGCAAAGTACAATATAAAACGGTATATATTGATTAACCAGACACAGGTACTGTACAAGACAGACCGGCTCATCTCGGACTATAGACAGAACGCCGCACAGCATCCCGGACGAGATGAATGATATTAGAGTATTAATAATCATCATCATCATCATCATCATCATCAATTGAGCTTCCGATTCGGTCCGATTCCCGCATCAGGTGTAACTGGAGAGTTTAAGAGATACTATGATGTGCGACTTTTGCACGTCAGAAAATACTGGAAATGATCAAGGTCAGTAATTTCGCATCAGTCCTTCCGGAGATGAAAAAACATTAAACATGCTGAAAAGGATATTGGGATCTTTCCTTCAGCAGACATATTAAATGTTTAAGGGACGCAAACTGACATCGTTGAACAGTACCACATTCGTCAACACGCTCACTCCAGCCTCTGCCAGCACACCCGCACCCTGCAGTACCAGGCTCAGGTCCCGAACAGACGGTTTTCCGTACCCGGCTTTCGGACAGTAGTCCCATTAGTTTCAAAGGTCCAAGCTGCCTCCCGGAACCTCTCCTCGTCCTCCTCGCTACTCGAATCCAGCTCACTCCGTGCAGCACTGGGAGACGCCATGTTGAATTTTCCCACCGCTTTTGAAGCGGAAACGAAACATACTGAGGCATTCTGGAAGATGTAGTCTAGATGTAGAAAACTGCACGTGACCGCGACTTCCATGATCCCCCAAGTGCTCTACAACTAAACAAAAGAGACGGGTGCACACCTATTGACACATTAAATTACACAGCATTAAAAGCTGGAGTATAAAAGAGAGTTTACGAGATAGTTGTCCAGATTATCACCAGTTCACTG